CTAGACTATTCTGTATTCTCTATTCAGCCCTCCCCCCTTCAAGATAAGCCCCTGAAGCTGGCTATGTCAGCTTGGTTAGCTCTGCTCCAATTCCGAGATATTTCCATTTGCTCCAATCATTCCCAACACAAATTCGGAGGCAGGACTAAATTGTTTGGATCATTCTCTCTTCCACGTGGAATTTGACCAATAGGAGAAAAGAGTTTCAACTTAGACCAATCACAGCTTAGAATTTCATAAAAGATATATGCTATTGGCTGCTGTGGTTCCATGTTCCACGTTTACTAATGAAAATGTAGCGTATTATCGATAAAAGCTTATTTCATGATACAATGTCAATAATATATAAATATGCAATTTAAAGTTCCAAATAGCCTGCTGTTAATAGTGTAATTTATTAAAAGTTAAGATTCAGAGAACAAAATTATAAATAAAATTATATTATTAAAACTCGGATCCTCATTCAAGAGTATTTTTGTAAAAATGTGAAAGAACACATTTTTTCATCAGTCACAATAACACAATACAATAAATAATACAGAATATAAAAATAAATTTTATAATAATATGGCCGCCAACTTAATTTCTTGAAGCAGCATAAATGTGTGCCCAGTGTTCCGAAATGATTTGTCGCATCCAATTTCCTAAAACTACAAGAAATGGAAAACAAAAAATTAATTGTTGTTCTAGAGTCTGCAGACTACATCGAGTAGCTGCCATTTTCTCAAAACTGGAACAAAACGCGGCAAAAGAAGATTTTGCAGGGTCGTCTTTGCGTTTTCCCGAATAGCTTGTTTACGGTTTGGTGTTCAATGGCTTCGTGGCCGGAAAATGTGTAACCACAAAACCGAAACCAATTTCAGGGGTTTAGAGCAGTCTCCTGAGGGCATTAGGGCCCAGGGAATTTATTTCTCCTAGTTCTCGACCCTTGGCCTGGGGCCAAATGGAGAAGACCTTATGAGGGAGAGCTAGGAGAAGACTAGTAATTTAGGAAAATTATATAACTAGGGTTGGGTGATAGCCTGTCATTTACCATCATCAGAATAGGATCTCTGGGTGGGATCGGAGCTAGGGCTGCACCATTCATCCAACCATACAGATCAGTTGAACCATAACAATCCTATGTAAACCTTTCAACCAGCTCCTCATACTACTAGATACTAACTATTCATTGGATATTACACAATATAGATCTATTAATATACTCAAATGATATCCCATATCCAGTATTATATAATTTCAATATAAAAAAATTCCTAAAACATAAGTTTTTCAATTTTAAGATGAAAATCAGACTGACTACGCTTTAAAATTTAAAAGGTAAAGGATATTAGTACTCGAACACATGACCTTTTATTAAATCATAAATGCGTCAAGACTGCAGTGCCCATTTTGTTCCTCTTTGTACTGTACATAAAGCGCCATTAACAGTAAATATACAGGATTGTCCAGTTACAGATATATACTGTACCATGTTCATTGTATATACAATACATACAAGCAACATATCAACTATATGTAAAATATATATATATATATATATATATATATATATATATATATATA